AAAAAAAAAGTAGTACACCTTGACGCATAGCTATTTGGATGACTGATTCAGCAAATGGCCAAATGTAACCGTTTTGTGGTCTGCAGGCAATCTTTGCTGGTCAGAACACAGCAGGGGCTAAAAATGGATTCCCTGGGGTGCATTTGCCCTTTGATGTATACAAAGGCACCGATTAGTTACTGTATGCCAGCAAAGTACTTGCGGCAGGAGTCCTAACGTGGAAAAAGTAGGTATTGGAAGGTGAATTATTAGAAAATACTGCACCGGAATACCCGGAGAAAACCCACACGGGGAAAGTGGGAGAACACGCACACTCCAAACAGGAAAGGCCACAGCCAAAATTCGAACCCTGTACCTCTGCATTGTGAGGCCGACGAAAACTCAACATATTGTTCAATAAAAACCATTCGGCAAGTTTCAGTCAAGACTTGGCATCATTATCTGTTAAAGGCGAAGATTTTGATGCACTACTTGTATTAAGCGCTTACAATATTGCGCAGTTGTGGCTAATGTTATGGCCAGTGAGAGTAAGCACCCACTCCACTGATATATCAGCTCATCGCTATGGATCGGACTGATATCGCAGCGTTGAGGCTAAATTTTATTTGGTGAATCTCTATCTTTCATTACTTCAGCGCGATATGTCAGTTAGATGGCAAGGGAAGCGGCACAGTGGCCATAAACCACACATGCGGCCTCCTGCCCAGTCAGCTCTTATCACGATCGCCGACATCCACACCACTAAGATGCCCACTAAAACGGCCCGAGTGCAGTGCAATCAACCTTGCAGTCCATCTCTGAGGTAGGCAGCAGAGGCAGACGCACATCTAAACTCACACTGAACTCAATCGGCTTTGTCATCATTTTACTCGTTAGAGTTTGTGCTAATGCAGCAAGACATGAAATTGTCTTGGTCGTGGCTCTGTGGCAGAGATGCTACATTTCAACATTAGACACAAGCAATGGTCTCTCGCTCTGTCTTAGGTGACAAAGTTGCGGGAAAAAAAAAAAGAGACTAATTTTTGGGGTGCTCTCTGTTCATCATCACTCAATGCATGACGCACACAAGTTCTGAAAAGGCTACATTTTAGTAAGTGACTCATTTAGATTCTGCACGCCACCCCCAGTCTGTTTTTTTTGTGCTGAATCAAAATGAGAGAAGACAGAATATGTCAGGTCAGAGTTACAAACCGAGTCCACTGTGCAGTCCGTCCCAGACAGGTCCAAATGGACAAGACAGTTGGGCTGGGCAAGGAAGAGGTACAGATTCTGCACAGAGAGGAGAAGACTGTTAATGCATCGATACATAGACCTTCATGTCAAATGAAAAGATGTCTGAGCTCACCGTGGCATCCTCTCCAGACAGAACTCCTGGGTTTTTACTGAGGTCCAGGTGCAACAAAGAATTGGAGTAGTCATCGCTGGAACACAATGCCTGGGACAGAGACACGACGCCTACGGTGTCGTGGGGAAGGAGGAGGGAGAGGAAGTTCAGTATTGGTATGAAGAAACGGCAAACACTTTTCAGTCACGAAATCATCTGAAAATCATCCGACGTGCAACTTCTGAGCAAACAGCAAACCCAGTAGCGGAAAGGGAGCTCAGCAGCGCCATATAACTCGAGGGATTTGCTGAGCTCTTATGGCAGGCTAATATTAAACAGGCTTTTGGTAGAGGCCTGCCAAGCCTTTTCCTTCTCTCTCTTTTCAAAAGATTCCCATGAAAGCTGGAACAAAGGGAAAAAAAAAACCATTCCCTCAAAGGAGATCACTTCACATTACAGACATAGGACCGGTGAGGGACCTCATTAAAATCATCATCCAGCCACATGGCAGAAATGCCGCAACAAAAACAGAGTAACACAATGGGAAGAAAAAAAAAATGAAATATTAAAAGAGTCCAAGCAAAATACAACTCGATATTGATCATTGGGTTGTGTGGCTTGGTACAGCTTATTTTTACATGAGGACCCTGCACTTCAAAAAAAAAAAAACAGAGCGCTATTTCATAAATACGTGAAAATGACAATGCCCTGCAGTGATAAACTATAAACATGCATGCAAATGCAAAATTAAGCAATGAAAACATGATTCCACGCCACCATTCAACAACCTGTTGAGGGTTTCGATCACAGCAAATTGTTTTCAAAAGTCACTCATAAAAAGCTGGCCAAACAGTTTTAGAGACAAAGGCAAGCTCAAGCTTTGGTATAGCAACAAACTAAAAGCACTCAAGATTTTTGCTTTTATTTCCACGTATTTCGATCTGAGACGAATAAACAAACATTTGCTCACGAGGGGAAATGAGGCCTCGCCGCATGAGAATTGATATGTCGCCTTTGACTGGCGGGGGTTGAAATCAAATCAGCGAGAACATGAATCGACTTTTGGATTGTCTGAGATAAAAGCGATCCAAAGTGGGACAGTGTCCTAATGCCTATGTGGGATTTCAGGGAAATAAAGATCAGCTCATTCGGATTTTGACCTGGTTTTCATTTGGACAAATGCAGTTCTGTTATGGCTCGGTCTCGTGATCCGTGTGGCTAGTATTGGTGCAAGTACTACGCCGGTGGCTCCATGTCACTGGTGTGAAAAACTGGTGTGATGAATTTCCAAGCCTCCAACATACTCGGCGTCTTACCTTTGGAAGAAAGCGACGTCTTGGAAAGATTGAGGAGACGGAGGCCCTTGTTGAGACGACACACTTGTTGAATCAGATTGGAAACTCCTGGTGGAAGGCAAGACAATCGACACTAACAAAACGCAGACCAAGATGAACAAGCGCCGATTGTTGCCCAAGCGCCTTTTGAGTGGACGTTTCTATTGTTCCCAACAGCAAAAAGAGGAATAAAAACACTCTAGACATTTTTTTTTTTTTTTGTAAATTATCATCACCGTTGGGCCAAACCACGTTTCATGGAAACCATTTTGTCTTCCCTCGTCATCGTGCTAACATAATAAAGAGCAATCAAAACAATACCTCTCAGTGCTTGACAATAAAACAGCGAAAGAGGGCGACGAGATGGCTTTTATTTTACTCATTTATTTATGTATTATATCTATTCTTTAAAAAAAGAACGTTTCAGAAGCTCCACTAATGAGGCATGCTATGAAAACAGCAGCCCACACACATTTCTGCTGCTTATTATCAAACTCAAGCGTCCGACCCCGCACATCACCAAAGACTCAAATACAGAACACAGCGTATTCCCACAGATAAACAATAATAACAGGCACCACTTCTACCTGGTTCTTGAAACTAGGGCCGGGGCGATTATATCATGATCACAATTATTTTGATTGGAATCGAAATCACATTTAATTAAATAGTGACGATTATTCACCGAAATCAAAACCTCGCATCTGTTCAACGACCAAAACTCAAAACGACTCAAAACTACCACGACACCCTCATGCCCTGCCGTCCCTGCTTGTCCAACACTTTTATTATTGAAACCTCCATTCTGTTTGTCAAGGGCAAAATGCCCTTGGAACGAACCATCAACTCAACTTGATGTAGAATGTGAAAAAAACAACCAGAAAAGAAATGAGATCAATAGATCGATCGATAAAAATGTAAAAATGACACACACGCGTTCAGATTCACAAAGGAGGACAATGAGCAGGTATTAATAGTCTGAAGTACTGAAAGGGACCACTCATTGATGGGGCATCAAGGACAAATACAGTACATGCGGTAAAAATAGGAGCAGGTGAAAATGAGGGATCGCTGAGAACGGATATTGATTTGGAATTCTTCAAAAGCATCTGAAAGCCAAGATGAAGGAGAAGCGAAGAGATGGCCCGAGAGAGCGCCAAGAGGAGGCGAAAGCACAGGCGGATGGATGGATACCTTGGTTGTCAAGCGTGTTGTGAGCCAGGTTGAGAGAGTGAATCATGGAGCCTGGGTTCTCTGACAGTGCTGTTGCCATTTTCTGGGGAAAATCCCTGGAGGAAGAAAAACATTTAAAAAAAAAAAACAACAACAACAATGAGAACAAAATAGTATGCGGTTCCAACTCGGGACTGGCATGTCACGAAAATGTCGTTGATTAACCGAGGGCAAGTTAACAAATCAAACAATTCTTAAGTCTTGAGCTGAATGATTTTTTTTTTTTTTTTTTTTGCTGATCTCTTTCGAAATGAAAAAAAAAAAACAACCCAGTTGGTCTTTATATTCAATAATATTATCAAATTACCCACGTGTTTGGTATCATTAACTGCATGTTTGACATTTCGAACAAACCGATCAAACATACTTTCCAATTTAGGGTCGATTCATTTCATATGTCATGTTTGAATATCATCATAACTTACTCATGCGATTTCAATCCCAAGATGTTCAAGCATATTCGATGATAAAATATACTTTATATTTAGCATTTCACCCCCATTTTTTTTTTTAATCACGTCCCAAGACACGCAATCCGTTTCAAGTATGATAAAATGAGGAACCGACTCTGCCAGATAATCTCAACAGAGAACCAACCCATCGTCTGCAGCCAGGTGGGGAGACGTGACATCAACACTACGGTTTGAAATGTGTAGAACACAAAAGAACTGAAAAGGTCAGGCCAATAGGAAAAAAAAAAAAGGAGCGCGGTCGGTGAGGTACGACAAAGAGATGAGCGAAGGTGCGGAGGTGAAAGGCTGGGCACAGATGGATGTGAAAATAAAAGAAGCAGAGAGGAGAGAAAGAGGGACAGGAAAAAAAAAACTGTGGGTGGGCAAAAGAAGAGATGCGGTGATGTGTGAAGGTGCAAAGTAGAAGAAAAGTAGCCAAACAAAGGCACTTTGTAACGCAAAGGTGACGAGGCGAGTGGGAGGGTGTCAGGAAGAAACCTACGATTTTAGCCCGGCGTTTTCCAGAGTGAGTTCTTCCAGGCTGTTGGACTTGCTGACTGTATGAAGGACCTGGTCCACCACTTCTGAGCCCTGCAGAGTCAAAACAGGATTGGATTGACACACTCCCTTCATCCCAACATCATTGCGAACTGATCATGTGAAAGCCGACAGGAAAAAGAGGGAGCGAGGGCAATAATTACAATGCGCATGTCTTTGCAGTACAGCTTGGTGAACCACGTGTTGTACGCAACGGACGCCACAATCACAGCCAGGTCCCTGGAACACACCACACAAAAAGTCAGACGCAAATAGGCCGACTCGACCTCCTGCAAACATCAGTCACACATTCATACGGTCACATTATCGCCGCTGAGCGCCTTCGTGGCTGCCTGTGCAGTTTATCATGTCGAACCGGAGGACAGCGTGGGCCGGGCCGCTGTCTGAAGGATGACTGATACCACTAACGCGCTGAGGGGGAGAGGCAAGGAGGGGAAAATGAGAGAAAGAAAGAGCTTTATTGCGATGGATGGCCCGGTCAGTGGATTATTGGGTTAAGCCAAAGTGCGTGTTTGCAGCTGCGAAAAGCAGACCTGCGACCAGAAGCCAAACTGTCAAAGCCGCAGCTGCCCGAGTCTGTTTGCACATGGGCGATTGGAAAAATGTCAGTGATTGAGTGAGAGAGAGAGAAAGCTCAAGGTCAGGGTGGCCGTCTTCTAATTACATAAGCGTTTGCAAACGTGTCAGTCTGCATGTAAATTGTGTCAAGTGTCCGTCGGTCCTCCAAAACAATTTAAGATTTCGACCCGGGTCCATTTTGACCTTTGAGGCGAAACCTGCATATGTGGGCACAAGAAAATCAGAAAACCGAGGAGATCTCTCTCAGAGTTTTTGTGCTGCGTGTGTGCAGAATGAGGCCTCCCAAGGTGTCCAACCAAACCGACAGTTTTGCTCTACCCGCTGCACATCACTGTGAAAAAAAGGGAGACAGTGATCGGAAGGAGAAAAAACAAACAAACAAACAAGAAGACCAGGGGAAGACAAGGAAAGTGCGATTTAGCCAGAGGGGGTCCCCGTTGCTAGTGACTCCAACAGCCGTGTTGCAGGCTGCGCGTCGGCCCTCGCGACAACAGCTGAGCCTCGATGTGAAACATGATGGGCGGTGTCAAAATATATCATCAGCACAGACTCTTGATTCGTGTTTTGACAGCAGGGTGTGGAACGGACCTCTGACGTCTTCTACTCATGCAGTCTGTTGGTCCATCTTGTTCTCGCTTAGTGCGCAAAGACGTCTTTGTCAGAGGTCAGTCTTGTCCGCTAGTTTGGGATATTTATCATTTTGTAAGACAGCTGTTGATGATGTGAGGGGTTCTCAGGGAGGGAGAGGAGAGTGAAAGCGAGAGTAAATGTTATTTTATTGATGAGATATTTATTCTAAGGCGGCACGGTGAGCGACTGGTTAGCGCATCAGTGCCACACACATTCCAGAAATATGTGTGGCAGGTTAATGTAACCATCAAAATTGTCCCAAGGTGTAATTGGGAGCGCAGATGGTTTTGGTTTGTTTATGCGTGCCCCTGCGATGGGCCGGCAACCGGTTCAGGGTGTCCCCCGCCTACTGCCCGATGACCGCTGGGATAGGCTGCGGTACGCCCGTCACCCTCCTGAGGATAAGGGGCTTGGATAATGGCTGCATGAATGAACCAGCTTTGTCCCGTGGATGTTAAAGGCCTCATTTTTAAGAGAGACCCGGCCAAGGCAGGCGGCAGCAAAAAAAGAGATGGACTCGGAGAAAAGGGCTTGCATATTCAGCGAAGAGGATTGAGATTTAACGGCCTTTTGGTCTGTCATCAGTCAGCCAAAGAATGATCGCCTTGTAGTCAGCAATAAAGCTGTAAATGGGTCCAATCAGGGCAAGAGTGAGGAAATGGGACTGCGGAAAGATAAAATGGGACCGAAGAGGTTCATGTTCCACATCATGTCGAAAAGACATTCTCTTAGACTCTCATTTGCATGTTCCTGCAAATAATTTCATGACAATCAATTTCCTTCTGCTGGCATCTTCCAATTAGAGATGATAACTTCAACTGAAACGCAGGCGCTTGGTGTTTAGTGATGCATTGCGGGCGCGAGAGAACCAATCATTCCAGAGAGGTCCGTAAAAGCGGCGACTGCGGACAGCTTCCCCGGATAAGCCCGACACCAAAGAAAGAATTGGGAGGAAAAACCTTTTCCATATACGTCACCCAGTGGTAAACGGGACCATGTCCAAGCTTTTGGGGTACGAGTTGCAGCAAATTCTAAGTTAATGATTATTTGCTAAAAACAACAAAAGTTTATCAGCTTGAACATAAAAATGGTTGTCATTGAAGTTTATTCACATCATTCTAGATTGAACATTTGTTGCAATTCACTGTATGCTGTTTTTATTTGTGTTGAACACAACATCACAACTTCATTGGAATGGAGTGTGTAAGTGCCGTGGGGGTTTTTTTTTTTTTTTTTGCTCACCATTTAACACATTAATATATGCATGAATTGCCGCAACTGTGCTTCGAAGAACGGCTTTGTTTTTTATTTCTTTCTTTCTTTTTCCCAACCCACATTGCAAGTCCTCCCCTCATGATTATGTAAGCCTTTTGAAAGTTCAAATGCATGGGATGCACGACACACAGAGTTGCTTTCAAAATATCATAAAAATGAAGGACAAAAAAAAAAAAACCCGAAAGCGAGACACAAGAGAAAGCGTGATATTTTACAGTCGTTCTCTCGTCCTATGTCCAGACACTGACTAGCATATCATGAATCTCCCGATCATCCTCAGATCCCCACAGATTAGTTGGAACAAGAGAAAAAAACAAGACAACTGGAAATCGAGTTGCCGGAGAGAGAAATCACAGACTAAGGCACTTCTTAGACAGCAGGAAGCAGGAAGTCGTTCTCGTTTATGAGGATGAGAAAGGGAATGTGAACGTAAATAGGAAGGAATTTGAATTCAAGATGACAAATCGAAAAGCCCAATTCAAAGGCTGACTCCAAACTGCAAACGCACAGAGAATCAAATTGCGTCACCTGCTCTCAAGATGACTAAAATCCAGCAAGTTTAACTCCCGGTTATCCTGAGAGTGGTAGATGGTATCAACATCCTGAAGAAAAAAAAAAACAAGAGAGGATTAGTTCGAGGAGAATAAAGCAGCTGACAATCCGTCCATTTAAACCACACGAGATTCAATAAGGTGACCTTTCATGTTACGAGCTGCGCGTAATGAACTCGTTGGCGCCCCTTCCAGTAAGCAAGCTGACCACACAAAGACATCAGACTAGCTTTTTCTTTCTTTCTTTCTTTTTTTTTTCTTTTTGGACTTGGAGCACAGTGGGCCCCTAACCTGAAATTTTAAGATTTCGGGACACACAGCGTAAACGGACTCGCAATGTCAATATTCATCCCGCTCGCTATATTACTAGTAAATGGGCTCAGGTGTTGACACAGCATTTGTCATCAACAACGAAAATAATCAAGAATAGTAACTGTTTTGACAAACAAAAAAAAAAACAAAACTGAAAATGTTACTTGTTTCACTGGTGCGAGGAGATACAAATTGCATTTACACCGTCTCCAATGTTTAGGGACACAATTCCACCATTTTGATTTTGCATCTCAACATTGTGCATCCGAAAGGCAGGTACAAACCAGCACACAAAGTGACGCCAGCGTAGTGGAGAAAAATTGGGTGGAAGCAGGGGGAGATCCATTCTACTTGTGTTAATAATTTGGGGCAGTTGTCTGGGTGTGTTGTCCCAATAATTTATCATTTTCACACCTCAGGAACTCTTCTCTTTTATACAGTCATAAAAAATATAGAGAAAGAAAAAAAAAAGAACACAATAGCTGCATGGCCTACATTTATCCGAGAATAAAAGACAAGGACAATACAAACTCCAACTCGTGGGCTAGAAACGCTACGGGTTGATGCTTTACACACGTCCACAACCACAGTGGAAGAGCAAAACAATTCCCAGTCTCTAATACAATAATATATGAGCACTGTATGGCAGCAACACAAAAAAATAAATCAAATAAATTCAACCGAAATCATGCGAACAATGTGTGATCGTGCCTGCTGCAGAAAAACAAGAGATGTTGAGACCGACTACTCCGATTCAATAACAGCCACCGCAGACCAAATCCCAAAACCATCCCGAGAGAACTCTTGCAGGAATCTCCTGGTATTATTTTTTATTTTTTTCTAGGACAAAAGAAGACCTAGCTCCGCTCGTAATATATCTGAAATGGCACAGGAAATAGAAACACGTTTTCAGCTAACTAAACCACACTTGTGATTGGATAAGTACTCACTGAATTTTGAGCCACCAACGCTCTTCAGGCGCTGGAGAACAGCTACTGAATTGTGCCCCCTGTGCATATCGCTTACCCATTGCACCTCCTCTTTGCAGCCAATTCCATTGTAGTCACAAAGAGCCGCGTACGTCTCTGAAAAACCTCCTGAATGACAAAGGAGAGAAGAACAAATTCATCCCCTGGCGCGGCGAGGGGAAAGGCACAAACAGAAAAGATGAATGGCAATGGAGATTTTAGTTGTAGACGATGGCGTAAATGCACCTGAGCTGACTTTTGCTTGTGTTAAAAAAAAAAGATGACATACTCAGAAATGGTACTTCTGATAACTCGCTGACTCTTTTCACCGAGCCGGCAATCGGGTGGACACTTTGGATGTGCAACAAGTACGCGGATGAGACTCGTGAGCAAACGGTCGACTCACCGCAGGTTTTCTGGGGGTCGAGCGATGACTCTGAAATCGGTGAATACTGCTGAATTCCATCAGTCGTGTCCCCTTCCGCTCGACAAATGGGAGGACTGAAAGACGGGAGGGTTGCAACTGTAATTAGCGCATTATCATACGGTATGCTAACAGCTTTTGATCACTTGTGGAAAGGAAAAAAAAAGTATTTGATGAAAATGTGTTCAAAATGGAATATACATAAAACGGGAGTCAGACCAGCGAAGTCAACATTTTTTTGAAGGAATGTAGTAAGCGAACATTGCCACGGCACACAAAGAAGCACGCTCACTTACCGCCATAATTATCTGTCCTGTTTTTCGTTTGTTCAGTTCATATTTGTGGCCGAAATGCATTTCTCATTCAAATATTTACACAGTGATTATGCTGACATTCTGTTTGCGTAGGTCAGTGCTAAATTAAACTACGTTCATGTCAAATTCAATTACTGGACTAATTCAGGTGACGTTGCCGTCATAGGAATGCAACTCCATCACAAATAGAGGACTCCCGAAGTAAAGCTTTGGCGAGGGGGAAAAAAAAAAAAGATTTTCTCAACCATTCTTGTGACAAAAATGGAAATAATTTTCAAATTCTATGAAGGAGATTTTTTTTTTTTTTTGTCAACATAGAATACACTCGAGCAGAAAATGTTATGATGGTTTAATCAAGCAGGTGCCCGCATTATTGAAATCTGAATGGAATGCCTTGAGTGACTAAAAGGTATATTTCAGCTGAACGGAGTTTGACTGTTGAATGCAAATTAAAAGCGAGTGAGTGGCTACATTCTCGGAAACACTGCACGTCATACTTTCAAAAAAAGAAATGTCACGTCGCACTTTTGAATTTTTACTTGGAGTTAAAGAGTTGAAATTAACCGCTGCCAACGTGTGCAATTTTTCTGCGAGTCCATTGTCAAGTCTGTACGAGACCACTGCGCTTGAGATAAAGGAGCTACGCTGGATTCACTCTTGTCAAGTTTCGTTTGCTTGAAAGGAAAGTTTAATTGCTCTGCGGGTGCGGCGGCTTCTGCTCGCGTATGAACGCGGTTCTCATGCACACAACACAAGAAAACCACTTTAAAGGAATCTCGAGAGCGGGATGGACCACTTGAGCTCCAAATGTAAATGCCGCGCAGACCAAAAGGCAGGACCAGCATATTAAAATAAATGCACGGAGAAAACCTCAATATTCAACAGTTAAAATCAGTCATCTGGAAGCGGCTTGACAAGGCAGACATTTTTCTTCACGCCATCAGAGCTGAGAAATATGTAATAAGTATAAATGTACATTTTCAATCGGGCGCACGGCAACGTATCACTTTATGCATATCTTTAATTATAAAAATGTCACGATAAACGCTACATCAACTGAACCAAATGTGCACGCAATGGTTTTTTTCAAAATATTTTTTATTGTTCGGGGTTCTTTTCTTTTTTTTTCATTTACGGGTGCTATTTCTGTATTGAACGCATACACAGGTCACATTGTATTAATGGACGCAGGCATGGTAAAACGTATGCTAGCTTAAACAATACGCTAGCATGCATGCACGCGAGCGTATGGTTTTAAAAAGGCAGCGGGAGCAAAACTGAGTTCGGTTGTACTTCATTGAAGTATTTAACAAATTTTGTGAGAACAAGCACTATACATTGAGAAAAGAGACAAAGAGATCGCTTGCATGCATGGAAACTCATTTCAGTTTCACAATTTTGCATAAAAGTATGTAAGCCTTGTCATTTTAGGATTTGTAGTCAAATATGTTGCAATGCTTTTGGAGTACGGGTCCGTCGTCGGTTAACATTTCATGAAGTAATGTCGTGACCATCCCAAGAATTGCGATCCTTTGGGTCATGGTAATCATGATGTGAAATTTTGATCTCATTTCAATTCTACTCATGAGTGACAACGTTGGCCGGGGAAATGATCTTGAGGCCATCCTTGGTCACTTTTCTTTGTCCCGCTGAGGATGTTGAGGTAAAGCAGAGACTTCTATGTCACTCGCTAAAAATGAGGTTTTGTCTTCAACTCTCAGCTCCTCAAGTGTCAGATGGCTAAATGAGTCCCAACGATTGCTGGGTGTCAGAATGTAGCATGACAACAAAAGCAGGTTGGATGCCAACCACGGCGATACACGGATTCACTTGGCCGCTGAAGCGGAAAGCCGGCCGAAAGTGAAGATGCCAACATCCCAAAGCTCTGTCGAGCACTGTCACTGTTGCCCAACTCGTCTTTTCTTTTCAGCTTACACAACACAAAAAAACAGGACGGCTTGTTGGCTTGAGGCAAAAGGGAGTCTTTTTTAATGCTTACGCATAAATGGAGTTGTTGAAGACTCGGGAGAGGGCGTAGTTGATGTGACTGACCATGTGATCCAACTGGTCCTGGGTTTCCAATCTCAGCGAATAAGTCGTCTTGTCTGTGTCGATTAGAACCTACAGGATGGAGATGGGATCGCGTTTGTCTTCATCTTTATTCGGTCCGAGCAGCAACAGGAAACGCGTACGGCAACGGTACCTGATGCTCTGGATAAGTGTTCATTGCACGGATTTCCAAGAAGTTGAACGTGACCTCCACCTGAAACGGAACGCATCATGGTCGTGTTGTATCCAACGTTGATCGTTCTTTGTTTTCCCTGCTGCTATATCCTTAACGCTTCCATTTTGATCCTAAATAAGGCATCGGCATCACTGCTACTTGCAAATGAGACGCGATTGATTGCTGCTTTCATCCGGTGGCTGCCTGCTAGTTATTAGCGACTAAACCGCTCATGTTTAAGTGGGCGGGCTGCGTCAACTCTGCTCGGGTTTTCATGCTTTCCAATTGATCACTTGGCTGCTACTAGCTTTCGACGACATACCACGCACAACGGCTTCCTCCTCCACATTGCTCTGGAGATACCGTGAGGGGAGGAACTTGTCTGGTCCAAATAGCTTCATCTTGGGAAATGATGGCTGCCCGTTTTGCTGTACGTTTGGTCAGCTTGTTACGATTACTTTCTCTTTACTGCCTACTCTTTCATTTATTGGTGGATTCCGTTTATCTCAACTTGCAAACAAATGTTAGAAGGACTCCGACTGGCAAGAGTCGCGCACATTTCCGCCACGTCTGATGGAGTCGATATGCTCACAGCTCGCAGGGCTGTCTCTGTGCGGCCCGGTCCCAAATGGGCCGTGACCCTGTATTGGTCCGCGGACCGGTGGTTGGGGACCACTGCTATAGAAAAGATTAGGGAGGATAAAGAGCTGCTGAGTGAAGCGTCGCATATTTATTGGATTCATTTCCTCCCAGATTGAACAACAAAAGCAACTTGTTCATTGCCAAAAATCTGACACAAATGCTTTAAACCAGTCATTGTAATCGCTATCTTCTCTGCCTCAAACAGCCACTACTACTGTATATCAATGCTCTGTGTGTGTGCGTGTGAAATATCAAGGTTGGAAAGTGATAGTCATAAAATTCAAGTAAGAGAGGAGTAACATTTACCTTTGTAGGCACTTTGACAGCCAAGAGATACAGTCTCCATGTTGCCAGGACCTGAGGGAAGAACACGTTCATTTACCGTCACAGGGCGCCGAATGTAAAATGCAAATCACAGCATTAAAAAAAAAAAAAAAAAAAAAAACATCTCGTATTCAGAGCAACACATGGCTTTTTTCTTTTTTTCAAATGACCTGTAAATCATGCTTGGCACTGAGACATTAGCTAATTCTGATCGTGCCTGCGTAGTACGTAAAATATTATGGCGAGTAATATTTATTGCGGCACACTGGGAAATATAATTGGGGTTCATTTGTGAGACAAAAACTCAGCAAATGGAGGACAAAAAGGACAAAGACAAGATAGGAATTATACAGAGAGTGTTTCGCGACTGAAAAATGTGCATTCTCCCTCTCAATTGAGAGCATTGGCACAGCAAAATTCTGATAAAGCAAACCAGGGCAACATTTGCATTAAGACACTGCCCTGCAAACAACATTTATTGATGACTTGTCATCATCAAGCACGTTGTGTTTAATCATTGCTATTGACATGTACTTCGCACTGCTGGAGAATTACAGTCGAGTCCTACTGGAGTGGTTGCAGCGCGGCATTAGAACCAATGCAAACTCAACTTCTGAACAAAATAAAATAAAAAAATAAAATATCTATATTTTTAGATCCCATCCGTATCAATGTGCTGTCCATAACTATGTAACAAACAATAACAAGAACATCAACATGAACATGATCATCAACATCTTGACAACCTGAGTCCAATGTAAGCGCGCTATCAGAAAGGATCAAAAAGGAGCTCATCTGTGTAACACAGAGCAGGTAATATCATGGCACGGCCTTGCATGGCTTCATCTGGAATGGGGTCATTAATCTTCGTTGATGTAACGCGCGATGGCAGCAGAAAAATGAACTCATGAAACATTTGGAACCAATTTAAAAGATGAAACCAAACTAATTGGGGGATCCTTCATCAGGCCGCAAAATAACGACCCAAAACACGCTCACCAACAAAAACAAAAGGAGCTCGTCAGGGCCAAGAAGAGGAAGGTTTTAAAAGTGGCAAGTGACAAAGCTGAGATGAAAAGGAGTACAGTGGTACCTCCACTTAGGAAATTAATTGGTTCTGGAAGAAATTTCTAAACTAGAACATTTTGTAAGTAGAGACATGTTTTCCATGCAAATGCCCTAATTCGTTCTGAGCCCCCCCAAAATTTAGACGTGAATGTTTCCTAAAGCATCAAAATATGGAAAAAAAATACATGTCACAATTAGATTATTGCACAATAAATGAGAGTTGTGCATAATGTAAAAAACAAAGAATAAAGATTAAGAACGATGATCGTTTAACTTTTCACTGCGTCCTCATCGTTCTTTTGCCCCCTTTAGTTCATCTTCTCTCTCAGAAGTGGTTTTTGACTGGCGTTTTGTAAAGAACCGATCCAAGGACGTTTGCTTTTGTGGGCTTTTAACGATCCTTCAAAAATGTCCAAGGCAAACATCAGCAGAGTGAGCGATCGCCCGACTGGTGAACACTTTTTCTGGGTGATTCACATTTACGTAAAACAATCGGAACACCTCATGGCCGCAGGGGCGAATGACGAGGACGCTGCAGACACATATTATCGAATTATTGATCTACATAGACACATTCGGTCGAAGTCCCTCTTAGCCAATGGGATACCAGGATGATGTACACACATATCTATCGAATTATTGATCTACATAGACACATTCGGTAGAAGTCCCTCTGAGCCAATGGGATGCCAGGATGATGCTCGGTAGTAGCCAATGGCAGAACAGCTCTAAGTATGTTGCGTTTAAGCATGTTGCGTTGAGGAAACTCGGAGCCGCGAGTAGCAGTCCATCCTGTATTTTTACCTTTTGTATCTTGAAATTTCTTTCGTAACGGGAGGCAATATTTTCCTCTTAAGACATTTTGTAACTTGAAAATTTCGTACGAAGAGACTTTCGTAAGTAGAGGTACCACTGTATGACCTTAAAAACGAGTAGTTGAATGTAACGGCAGTGACAGCCTGGAAAAGGGAAAATGCTCACATTTTGTGATGTCACAGGCTCATACTTATACCAAGCAAACTATCCATCCATCATCCATCCGTTTTCTAATCCACTTCTCCTCACAAGGGGTCGTGCCGGAGCCTATCCCAGCTGTCTTCGGGCAATGGGCGGGGTCACACACTTGCCAGCCCATCGCAGGCCACGCATGCATGCAGTTTTTTTTTGGAATGAGCGTGATTTATCATCGAGGAGCTGCAGAGGAAAAACGGTTTTACCTAATCCCGTTATGACCAACTCGGATTCCTCTAGTAACAGCAGACTGGACTGTATTTCTACGTTCTGCCCAAATCGTGAAAAACTTGCACGCAATAAATGCCATGGCATCGCGACACAGACTTTGTCTGTTCTACATGTTGAGTGTCTCCATTCTCCTCAATGTCTTGACTGTAAAACCCTCACATCGTGCCCTCTGTCATTCCGCAGATTTCTCTTTTCATCTCCATGGAAATTTGTTTACTGACGCCACCCTTCTCCCTAATCCCTAATCCCATCTATCTCCGAATGTGTTCCAGTGCTCTGTCTGCATCTCATCCAGCCCCTACCGTCCTACGGTCTCGCTTTCTCTCGACTCCCTCCCTCTCCTTCCGAGCTCCAGTATTTCTATTCTTTTTCTGCTCTGTCGCTTTCAATTCCTCAAGGCCTCCCTGGGCCTGAATGGTTAATGGCGCCCTGCTGAGGGGCGCTAAGGAGAAGAAAGAAAACGAAACGTACAAAGCGAGCGAGTAAGACAGGGTGGGAGAAAGAGATTTGCATCCTGATAATACAGTTCTCTTCGTCTCTTCCACTTCTACTACCGAGGACACCAGAAGCCGACTTCTTATTCATCTATGTACACCCAAAGGAAGCTCAAGCAACGAGTTGGGAGGGAAAATGGACATTAGAAAGAGACACAAAGTGTCCTTTCTATGACAAGCCGAGGACACCAGAAGCTGACTTCTTATTCATCTATGGACCTCCAAAGGAAGCTCAAGCAACGAGTTGGAAAAAAAAACAAAAAAGAGTGGACATTAGAAAGAGACACAAAGTGTCCTTTCTATGACAACAGTGCACCACTGAGCCTTTGCAGGAAACTACCGGTCCAATCCCAGCGCCAGTTTAAAAGCAGGAGGAAGCATATGCCTCGCAACGAGAACGAGAGACCATCAGGGCATCGACTTCCTTCAAAAACAATCTGGCAGGTCTCATCATATGAATAATTCAGGCCTTCAGATGTCTTCGATTTGATCAGCTGTATGCTGAACAAGAACATATTGGCAGCAATTGGCCTTTTTAGGCATATCTTTAAATTAGGATTAAGGTTTCTTTTTCCAGAATATTCTTTTTTTTTTTTTTTTTTCGGGTGAAGAGAAATCTCTTACCTGGATTACTTTCGCCTTTATTGGATCTGTCGATACTTCTTGGCAAGGTGTGTTAAAAACAGCGCTATATGGTTAAAAAGCGCTGTTGACGTCCAACAATGTACGAGTCGATCAGTAATGTGGCGAAGCAACGGAGCGGAATCCCGCGCTGTACATTTTGTTCATAAGCGAGGTCGCGGCGGCAATTAGCTTCCCAGGCTTCGTTGTAAACAAAAGGCCGTTCACGATTTCGTGGGAAAAATCTGGTCGCTATGATGAGGTTTACGTTATCAAGGTGTTCATCGGAAGCAAAATCGGCAAATGGAAAATGAATGACGTTTAAATCGGGACGTTGAAATGTGAACGTTATAGCGGTGAAAACGTCAACGGTGTCGATCTTTGCATCCAATAATTGATCTGATTGGATTTGTGTCCCGAGACCTTTGTAAGGAAGTGCATTAAGACTGCATAAATCTCTTACGAGAAACCGAAAGGCGTTTTTCTCGAGCAATAAAAATCCATCGATATAGCATCAAGCCATAAAGAAGAATCACAGCCGTTACCATTAATCATCCCAAAGAGCAAATGTGGCCACCGCTTTGTCTTACATATCACTTCCCGTACAGTCACGTTGAATTTGCTTTTTTGGGTTCGAATACCTTCAGTTGTGCTAAAGAAATTCTGCTATATTCAATTCTTTTAATTCGATTTTACTTTTTTGAGCCACCATCCTCAGTCAGCCGGGCCACGCCAATGTCTGCGTAAGACAATAAAGACGACGGTCGCCGAGGGTGGCGGGAGATAACAGTCGCGCCCTTGCTGAGATTGCACCAGTTTAAAGAAGCGCTCGCCCCCAAAGCGAAACGGCAAGGCGGTGTTGGAGTGCAAGTACAAGCCATAAACGGAAATAATGGTTCCCTCTCGTGTGTGTGTGTTGCAGCCATTTGAGGGCAGGGGTCGGGGTGCGGGGGTGGCAATATTAATCATGAGCCGTCAGCTTCGGCTTCTTGAACAAAGTACTTCAAAGGACACGCTGCAAATCACAGTCGGCGTCTGCGGGGCCCCGTACGATGCGACGAAGCCTCTGACGCAACGAGCTGCGGATCAGAGCCACATTTGGTCACCGGTGGTATTTGTCGCTCAACCGCAAGGGCAATTCCAACACACGCGTTGTAGACAAAGAGCAACAGAGGGAGCAAACGGACATTGCCGCTTGCTTTGGTGAAGCATGCTCGCTCGGCGATAAAGGCGCGCCTCTTGTGCAGCTGTAAAGAGGCAAAATGAGCTCGCCCTTAGCGATTACGCTCTGCTTTCTCACTGACGAACGCACAGGCATCCAGGAAGACGCGGTTTGCGTCCATTGCCGAAGAAAAGCTTGCCTCGTGACGGCACATCCCTGCTGATTGTTTTGTCTGTCACTCTGTCCCACAGTGGCCTTTGAAAGCAGAGCCGCCCCGGGTCCCGTGTTCGAAGTGGACTTTTAGAGTGGTTGGAAGAGCGCAGAATGAAAGTGAATGAGGGGACGGAAAGGTGGAAGGTCACAATTTGCCTCTTAGTCCTCAAATAACAACCCTGTGCTTCAGACGGCTAGAAAATGGACTTGCTTGACCACCAATAATAATAAAACATTTTAAACTGCGGATCAATAATAGCAGCACCTCATTTCTTGTCTTAGCTCGTTTTGAAGGACCAGCCTGGTCTCGAGCGAATGAGCCGGGGCTCAACTCCGCCGAAAAACTGCTCGATCAATGGCGAGTGGGTCTTTCTTTATGACCTGGAACATAGTCAGGAGACTGAAACAAGATGACAAAAGCAGTTGACCTTGTGAAGGCGGAACATTACAGATCTGTGCCCGGTAATTCACAAACTATCTTTGGGATATTGTGTCATGTACAAGTCAGCACAATTCAGAATCGCGCACTCACAGGCAGATAACGAGCTGTGCGTGGTTGTTTCAATACACGAACGAGGGCTGACAAATGGATCGGCTTCAAAGCATGAGAGGAAATAACGTGCGGATGAGGGCTCGAAAATGAGCAAGGGGGCCGAAGAGAGGCCAGGAGGACAGAGAAAGAAGAAGCGAAGAGGAGAATATCCAAGTGAAAGGAAAGGAAATTAAAATGTCTGAAGGAGAGAAGATGGAATACTTGGTGTGTATTGCTCGCACCGCAGGGCAACGCTTATTTGTCTCCTCATGAGGGGGGAGAAGAGAAGGTCAGCAGTCACACTTCATAGACTCGCCGCCACGGGCTACCAACATGTGCTGTGTTCATCAAGTACGAAAGCCCACGTTCTAATTACAGAACGGAGGGCTGAGATCACGCACTGTCAGATGGTCAATGCCGACAGTCACGGAGTGATTCCACGCGGCGCAGCGTGCAAAGAGGAAGTGGTCATACGCACCGTGACACAAGCGTATTACACCGAAATATGGAGTGTTGACAGAATGCTGCAAACATGACAATGTAGCATTCTGCCGCGAGCGCCAGTTGCCTCTGATTTTATTGCTTTGTACTCGGATTTTTTTTTTCCCAGCTCCACGACTTGAGCAAAAACGAGCGCCGGTTGCCTCTGATTTTATTGCTTTGTACTCAGATTTTTTTTTTTTTCCCAGCTCCACGACTTGAGCAAAAACTTGTTTTTCCACGATCAAGGTGCCAACTCGCTTATAGAATTCAGCTGTCTTCTTTTTTGCCTTTGTTTCATACCACCCACGGCTCAAAGCAAAAAGGCTTCCAAATCCAGGCTGAGTGCTTGCCTGACTTGGAGCCTTTCTTTCTCCAAAGATTTTGCCTTCCCATCATTTTGGTCAATGGCGCCCCTTGCTTCATCGTACTTTTGGAACTATTATTCCGGTCCAGCCTCTGAACTACTGTTCACATGAAGTCTTCGCTGAAGAGTAGATTGCCATGTCTCTGGAGGTAATTTCTAATGCCACTCACAGTTGTTGTGGGGCTTTCTTGTTTTACTTTTTACAACTCTCAAATTGGTTTAATCATCATCTGCTGCTGACGCTTTCTCGGACGTACTGCTTCAATGACTGTTCCGTCGTGCCATCCCCTCTGGAGGTCGTTTCTAATGTCACTCACAGTTGTTGTCTGCTGCTGACGCTTTCTCGGACGTACTGCTTCAATGACTGTTCCGTCGTGCCATCCGTCCATTTTCCGCACAGCTCATCTTCGGATAGTCGTTTTAGTTCTCTTCGCGACATTCTGAATGGCTATCTCGAATGTAGCCCAGATTTGTGCTAAGGGTCTCATTAAGTTTACATCTTTTTCAGCTTTACAATTATTGTTTTGCACGAGGCTCTCTCGTTGACACCTTTAAGGGGGATAACGGAGGCCCTGAAAAACAAAACCATCTGAAATTGAGCGCCTGCAAAAGGGGCTGCCACAAAACC